TGAACAAAACACTGCCATTGGAGGAAAGTTAGAAATATTTTGCACACATGGCCAGTGGCTCACATTAAACACATTTGGAAGTCGTTTGTATCCGAAGCTGAACTCACTTGCCCTCCAAGCTGCTTTCTATTAAGATGTTTACATGTGACATGACTCTACTTCCCGCGCTGCGCGCGCGCGCGCACACACACGCACACACACACACACACACACACACCCGCACACGCACACGCACGCGCACACACACACACACACACACCCTCAGGCCCACACTGGCCCCATCTAGGGTCCCCAGTTCCAATCCTAGGACAGGAGCACAGAAGGAGGCTGGCCAGTTTGGAGGGTGAGTCTGTCCGGGACACTCTCCTCCTGCGAGGGGGAGGGGATAGCAGGCCAGGAGGAGGGGCCTGCTCCCTCAGCTCTCTGGGGTCTCCCCAGGCAGCACACAGAGAGAAACAAAGCCCAGCAACATCTCTGGCAACCGCAAGCCCAGCAGCTTCAAGTCCCTGCACTGCTAGAGGAGGAGGAAGTGTGAACCCAGTAGCTTCGGAGGCAGAGGCTGGGGCTCGGGCCGGGCTCCGCAGCTGCAGCCCTGCTGGCTGGGCTGTCCATGGCAGCATCCAGCTGTGGCTTCCAGTTCCCAGGAGAGCACGTGCTCACCAGCCCGCCACGTGTCCACCCCACACGCTGGCCACGAGGTATGAACCCTGGGGCAGAAGGCCTCATCCAGCTGTGCATGGGAGAAGCAGACCTCCAGGTGAAAGGCTGGCTGCTGCTCCCAGCAAAAGGAGACACAGACAGCAAGGGGACGATGACAACAGGTGTCCACCCCGCCTTCTATTCCAGGGGGAGAGTCACGCACGCTGGGCCCAGGAAGGACAATGGCAGCGAGTCGTGGGGAGATCTGCAACTGAACTCACTGAACTGGGGGGATGAGGCCCAGACTGACAAGCCACCACGCCAGCCCCGGGGCCTGTGGACACGGCAGGCAGCCACGCTAACATTATCCTTAAGTGGGGAGAGGCTGTCATGGTCTTCCACACCAAGGTGACTTCGAGAATGATTTTTCTCCTTGGAACCCAATTTCTGTGGACTCTGTCTTCTCTCTGAGCAGGCGCAAGCTAACGCAGATTCCCTTTACACCCACCTGGAGAGCCAGGTCCTGTCAAACAGCCTCATCACAAGCCAGACCCTCTCCCTGCAAAACACTCGTCAAAATGATGGAACAAGGCGGGTGCTGGTGACTCACATCTATAATCCTGAGATCTGAGGAGCACAGTTCAAAGCCAGCCCAGGCAGGAGAGTCCATGAGACTCTTCTCTCCAGTTATATCCCCAAAACGCTGGAAGTGGAGCTGTAGCTCAGGTGGTGGTAGAGCTGGTGCTCCAACTTGAATGAAAAAAAAGCTAAGGGAGGCGCCAAGTTCAATCCCTAGCCCAGGAAAAGAAAAAGAGGAGAGGAGAAGGGGGGGGGGGAGGAGAGGAGAGGGAAGGGGCAAGAGGAGGGGAGGGGGAGGGGAAGAGAGGAGAGGGGAGAGGAGGGGAGGGCAGGGGAGGAAAGAGAGAGAGAGAAGGCTGGGAAGGTGGCTCAGTGGTAGAGTGCTTGCCTTGCGTGCATGAGGCCCTGGGTTCAATTCCTTAGCACCACATAAACAGAAAAAAAAGCTGGAAGTGGTGCTGTGGCTCAAGTGAGCTGAAGAGCTGAGGGACAGTGCCCAGGACCAGAGTTCAAGCCCCATGACTGACCAAAAAAGGGGAGGGCTGGAGAAGAGGAGGGGGAGAGGGGGGGGAAGGGGAGAGGAAGGAAGGAAACAGAACAAAGAAAAGGCTGGAAGATATGCTTTTTTCCCTCCCTACTCCTACCAGCAAAAAAAAAAAAAAAAAAACGGAAAGAAAAGCAGTTTGGTGAATGGACAGCAGGCTTTGTGTGAGTGTCTGTTGCAATTTAATCTCCTTTCCTTTCCGATTCCACGCTGAACAGCCACATCAGCTCAATTTCCAGTTTCCAGCTCCTTTGTGTGGGGCTGGCAACACATGTCCAACAGCATGCTGCTGGCAAGCGCGCCACTCCCGGGGAGCGCGCAAGCAGCTCCAAACCTCTGCACCCCTCATCTGCTGGGATCTTCCACTCCATGCCGGGACACGCCAGGGCAACACAGGCTCCCAATGGGAAAAGACTAGGCCGGGGCAGGCGCAGCGGCCCGGCCTGCGCCCACACATGCCAACACGGAATCACACTGTGGAGGAGTGCCCACACCGGGCAGGCCAGCACCCGAAGCCCAGCACCCCGCCTGCGGATGGCCGTGGGCTTCACGCTGGCCGTCCTCCATGGGCTCTGTGGGGCTGCAAGTCCCACAAGTGGCCACAAGCTCTGCTATTCTGTCCGGCCTCCTTCCGGTGTCCCCACCACATCCTGGACAGCCTTTCTAGCGGTGTCCCTAAAGAAGGGTCAGCCTTCACACAGCTTACTTAAGGTCGAGAGGCTCCATCCCTGCCCTGGTTCCTGGGCACTTAAGAGAACTGAGGCCTGGCTGGGGTAATCAGGTGGAGCTGTGTGGCCTCAGACAGGTTACTAAGTTCTCTGAGCCCTGTTTCTTCCTCAGTAGAAAGTGACTAATGCAGCCATCTTACAGATGAAGCAACATTAGAGAGGAAGTCTGAAGCTGAGCACCAGTGAGTCACACTTGTACTGTTAGTTACTCAGGACACTGAGACCTGGAAGAACAAAGTTCAAAGCTAGTCTGGGCAGAAAAGTCTGTAAGATGCCATCTCCCATTAGTTAGCAAAAAGCTGAGCTGGAGTCATGGCTCAAGTGGTAGAGCACCAATCATGAGCAAGAATGCTGAGCAAGCATGAATCCCTGAGTTCAGGCACTGGTACCAGTAGAAAGAAAAAAAAGGGGGTGGGGGTGGAGAGAGGAGAGAAGAACTTGCCCAATTCGCTTGTGACCAGTGAACACATTTTAAAAGAAGTTGTCACTAGAAATTCCACAGTGACTGAGCAGAAATAGCACCTCATTGTAACCTGACAAACTGCAGTGGCTCACATGGGCAGGGGTCACACACCTACCCCGAGCCTCACAACTGCTCCCTGACCACAGGGCTCAGAGAGGGCTAAGGGAACATGGCCAGGGAAAGGGTGTGAACACTCCAGCCTGTGCTTTTCTGGAAGGTTAGCTATGAAAGAGTCTGTGCTTGGACCTCAGCCTGGTGCTGTTTAAAAAGCAGGGGGGGGAGGGGAGGACCCACAATCCTACTGCCCAAAGCATGCACAGAGCTGTGTCCTCTAATGGGCCTAGAGAGCGTGGTTGGTCTCCTTGCTGCCAGCCAGGCGAGGTGATTGGAGACCCCTCCTGCTCTCGGTCGGAAGACTCCAGCTGAGCCCAGCTCTCCCTCCCACCTGAATGTGGGAAATCTCGCGGTGTGAAGAAAGCAGAAGATGCAGTCTCACTGCGCATAGCACGCATCGATTGAAATAAGACTCTACAATCGATACAAGGGAGAATTTCCGCTGAGGCTCCATTAAGAGCTGGAAGGAGTTTCAGGCATGACGACCTTGCTAAACAAGTAGAGCGAAAATGACTTGGGGATGACATTCGAAGGGAAGGCTTTCTTGGCCCATCCCCCAGTGTTGGTGTGTGTAATGCTAGAGATGGAACCCAGGGCCTTCTCTACTAATCCAAGTGAGGCTAGCACTCAATCACCCAGCTACACCCCGCAACACAAAGGCAGCATTTCAAACACAGCAATACCCACCCTACGTTCACCGTGTCTGTTTTGCTCCTCACCCAAAAAACAATATTTATGTTGACTCCCTTTTTTATAACCCAGTCACATACACATTAGCGTGTTACCTTCTAAAGGAAAGAAATCCACTGAATTTGTTTTAATTCAAAGTTCCCAAAACTTTGGTTTGAGCTGGGCATGGTGGCTCTTGTCTGTAATCCTGGCAACTTGGGAAGCAGACTGTGAGGATAGGGGTTGAAGGACAACAAGGTAGTATATTACTGTAATCTCAGATATCTACTCAGGAGGTAGAGTTAAGGACCACATAGGCAAAAAATTAACAATCCTCATCTCAACCAACAATCCAGGTGCCACAATTCACACCTATGAGCTCGGCTACATGGAATGAAAAGGTAGGAGGATTACATACAGTTCAAGGCCAATTCCTAGGCAAATACAAGAGACCCTATGTGGAAAACAAAACCAAAAAGAATTTGGAGTGATAGGGTACTTGAGGCCCTGAGTTCAAAACCTTGGTACTGTCCCACCAAAGGCAAGAGAAGGAGAGGGAGAGTGAAAGAAAGAAAGCAAGACAAGAAGAAAGGAAGGGAGGGAGAGAGGGAAAGAAAGAAAAAAAAAAGTCCTCTAATAATTTGGGAGGCCTGTTTGGATGGCTCATCCAAACCCAGCACCTTCCACACACATTATGAACACATGACATCTTTGTAGAGATGAACAAGGATTTGCAGCAGATGCTGCAGTATGAGGAAGAGGAGGAACACCCCATTTTCACCACTTACCTACTAATTCTTTACAAACTATTGCTAGGCTTTTCCAACAGTTGGAACCCTGCTCTGAAACTCTGCAGTCTGGCAGCCAGCTTCTCGCCGATGACTCCCGTAGCTCTTCCTTCCTTCCCTCGGCACCGGCCCACACTCCTCAGGCCCCGGGCCCAGCGGCCCAGCATCCTCAGCACTCGCCCTGAGAACCCAGGTGCCCGGAGAACCTCCACTCCCTTTGCTGCCTCAGGTTTGGCCACGGTTTTGTGATTTTTTTTTTAAAAAAACAACTTTTAATAAGCTCACAAGGCTTACTACAATTTGTCTTTAGCTCTTTTTTCCTGTTTATGTGGTATTGAAGAATCAAACCCAGGGTTTCATGCATGCTAGGCAGGCACTCTACCACTGAGCCACCTTCCCAGGCGCTGGGTTTATGACTTGGGCATCTAAGAGCTGCACTCTGTGGCGGGGACACCGTTAGGTGGCACCGGGCTCACCTGGTGGTCGATTTTGATCAATGCAATGTCAGCCTTCTCGTCCACATCCTTGATCTTGGCCTCGTAGGTGGCTCCGTTCTTCAGCTCGACCTTGACCCGGTGCTTGTTGGTTACCACGTGGGCGTTGGTCACGATCAGCCCATCTTCTGACACGATGAAGCCAGACCCACTGGCCACCGGCACCTCCCTCTTGGAGAAAGGAAGCCTGCAATGCACAGGAGAGCAGTCACCCCTGACGCTCCTTCACATGAACACTTGCACACACTGAGCAGTTAAGACGATTTCTGGGCTATAGTTTTGGGGGGAGACAATACTGGGGTTTTGAGCCCAGGGCCTCGCGCTTGCTAGGCAGATATCCTAGCACTTGAACCACCCTTCCCATCCTTTTTAGCTATAGTTACAGCTTTTACTCTTTTCAATAAGGTCTCCTGTGTTGGCACCAGGACTGGCCTTGAACTGTGATCCTCCTTCCTACAGGTGCATCCAGACAGCCAAGATCTCGGTTCTGCGAGAGCCACTCACATCTAAGGATCACTGCTTTGCAAACTAGCTCAGCTTCAAAACAGTGTTAAGTCAATTTTTTTTGCAGTACATCAAAAGAATTCCATTCAGGAAATATTATTTGGGAATCTCTTCAGAGCCAAAGATTCTTAAAATATCTGAAGGGCTAAGAATGTAGTTTAGTCAGATGGAAAAATGTCCTGAGGGAGAAATGTGTTTTATCGGGGTGTAGAAATCTATTCAATGACATTTTGACACTTTAATGTGTTTCAAATATAGCTCCCATGTTTTGCTAAAGGGCAACATGTATGGGAGAGAGCCTCACAAGTTATGGAGAAGGAAAGAAAGAAAGAGAGAAAGAGAGAAAGGAAGGAAGGAAGGAAGGGAGAAAGGAAGGGAGAAAGGGAGGGAGGGAGGGAAGAAGGGAGGGAGGGAAGAAAGGAAAGAAAAGAAGGAAGGAAGGAAAGAAGGAAGGAAGGAAGGAAGGAAGGAAGGAAGGAAGGAAGGAAGGAAGGAAGGAAGAAGCTTTACTTGCGGAACAACTCGATGTGAACCACAGCGGGAGCGATCTTCTCTACCACGTCAGCAATGAAGTTATATTTATGACGCAGACTATTGGGATCTTCCTGCCCTAAGAACGAAAGTAAAGACACAATCATTAATGATGCTGGGCCTTATATACATTAGTCACATATATTATGTATTATATATGTAATATATATTATATATGTTATATATATAATTTAGGGAAATATTTAACAAAATATGTTTGAGACTTATATACTAAGAACTCAAAACGCCATCACAATAACAAGACCTAAATAAACACAGAGAGATGCCCTATTTGTGGTGTGAAGGTTTGCTATCCATAAACTTTTAATTTTCCCCAAATGACTCTGTAGCCAGCATGCTCCCAGGGAAAATCTCAACGGTTTTTTTTATAGAAATTGGTAACCCTGCTTCTAAAAGGTATGCAGAAAGGAAAGAACCTATCTTGAAACAATTCTCATGAAAACTGCCTTACATTCTGAGACTTTGCTTTGAAGCAGACACATTCTAAATAATGAGCATTAGTCACAGCAATTTACAGACACGAATCCTCTCACTCGGCTCATAAATGCTTTCTCTACTCATTCTTAACACAACAAATGGTCCATTAAATACAGCTAACGTTTCCTATAGCTTTATGAGTTTAAAGCTGCCAGGATTTGATCCTAAGATAATGAATGAATCATGTCTCATCCTTGTAAACAACTAGTCAACTACACAACTTCATAAGTGTTGCCTTCTTGGAGGCTGTTAATCTGAGGTTTACAGAAAATATTTTATAACCAGAAGTGTGGCTCAAATGGTAGAGCATCTGACTAGGAAGCATGAGGCCAAGTTTAGTAGTACCTAAAAAAAATAAGGAATCAACCAATAAGCCAAGTTGTAGTGGCACAAGCCTGTCAGCCCAGCTGTGCAGTCGACATAAATAGAAGGATCACTGTCTAGGCCGTCTGGACAATAATGCATGACACTGCCTGAGCTTCAGAGATGGGCGGGTGGCTGAGCCCAACATTCCCAAATAGAAGCCACTAGCTCCCAGTGAATGCCTCGTGGTTTCAGAGGGAGGCTGGCCTCCAAGCATCAAATCCCCATTCTGCCCTTCTACAGTTGTGGCACTGCAGACAATTGCTTTCCCGGTTGAGCCTCAGTTTCCCTTCCTAGAACATGGAGATGGAACAGCTCCTACTCTAGCACCTGGTGCATTCAACACCTCCAAGGGGATCCTCTCACATTTCTGAAAACTCCAAGAATCTCACTCTCTCCTTAGTTCCCCAAACACTGCACCCCATCCCAATCCTCACACGTGTCTATTTTTCCATCCTGCCTGCAATGTTTCGTTTTCCTCCACTACAGCTAATCAAATCGCAGTAAAATAATACACCAATAAGAATAACACTACTTATTTATTGGGCATTCCCTATGAGCCAAGCACAATGCTAGACACAGATGTGACCTCTTAAGTCTTCCTGCAGGCCTGCATGATGGATCTTACAGTCAGTCTGCAAAAAGATGGAAACACAGAGGACAGGGGAAGGAAAGCCCATGGCTGAAAGTGTCAGAGCTGGCCAGTGGCAGAGGCAGAAGGGATCCTATCCACTGAGAGTTCCACTCGGAGCTCCATGCTCTGCATCTGGGGGCTGGCCTCCCTTCTCCTCCTGCAGTCCCCTGCAGTCCACACCATTGTGAGACTATGCTTCATACTTCCAGACCAAGACATCAGGGCCAGGATACAGGATTAACAACTCCATCTTCCCTTCCAGCAAGAACAGCCCACCATCCAATTTCTCAGCAGAGTTGATAAAGTGCAGCTAATTTGGAAAACAGAACGCAGTGTATTCGAGGGAAAAGAAATGAATCCTCCTTTATTCACAGGGAACAGTGTGTTCCTCAAATTCAAATCAGTCACAAGAACAGACTGAGCACATCCTTGGCATTTTAAAGATCTGTCCTATATTCAGGACTGGCTATGGAATTTGCAGAGCCAGTGCAAAATGAACATAAAAACTCTGTTGGAGTCAGGTGCCAGTGACTCACGCCTGCAATCCTAGCTACTCAGGAAGCTGAGATCTGTGGTTTGAAACCAGCTTGGACAAGAAAGCCTGTCAGACTCATCTCCAATTAACCATCAAAAAGCCAGAAGTAGAGCTGTGGCTCAAGTAGTAGGGTGCTAGCCTTGTACAAAAAAAAAAAAAAAGCTCAGGGACAGTGCCCAAACCCAGAGTTCAAGCCCTAGGACCGGCAGTAAATAAACAAATAAGTCGATGGTTTTCTTTACAAATTATTAAGACACTCAAGGCAGTGACAGAAGGGCTGTAAGATAGGAGGATTCTTCTAACCACAGGACCCTGTGTGAATACACAGGCCGAAGCCCACAGACACTTCCCCACCCCCAACCCTACCTGCGTGTTTCAAGGTTGTCTGACCTTTTTTTTTTTTTTAACTCCAAATCCAGATTCAGTGCTGAGTCACACTGGAAGTTGCCTGGGAGGTGCTGAAGTTATGGCTTCAGTCTGGGGAGCCCGGGGCCCACTGCTGTCCTCTGACAGCTCTGACACAGCACCTAACTGCTGAGGAGCAAGGTAGCACCCGCAGCCTCAGAGAGCTGCGAGGCTGACCAGCACATGGCCAGCCTGGGCAAGTGTGCAATCTCAGGCTGGAGACTCCTTAAAGTTACAGTGGCGGGGCAGTGGGGAGGGTGAGCTCAACTGGTGGTCTGGAAGGTCCTTCCTGCTTTCAAACCGTTCATGTTTCTCATCCAAGTTCTTCATTGCCAAATACTAGCACAGACAGACATTCATACTTAAAGGACTACAAATAGGAGCACAGGCCAGTGCCAAGCGCTGTCAAGAGTCAGCAACAAGTATGGCGTATGGCGGCATCATGCCAGGCTCTGCTCAGCAGAGCTCAGCTGGGGCAGGGGAAGAGGAGCGGCTGGCGTGTCTATGGGGATGGTGGGTGCTCCTCCCTGATACTGCAGGCTCAGGGAGGAACCTGGCCGTTGGTAACAAAAGCAATACAGGGAAGAAAGACAAAGACATGAAATGCATGGTGCTGAGGTCAGAAATGAAAGCCAGTGTGGGGAACAAACACCCATTCACTGCTGAAGGACCAGAAACCACCTTGAGTACCTGAGGTTCTGGGGCAGTGCCTGCTGGGACCCCTCCCTACTACTGTGAGCCCACAGTCCTTCCTGAAAGAGTCTGGACAAGCCTCCCCAGCCGTCTGCAGACTCGAATAAGCAAGTGCTCTCTCACTGGCAAGGGAAGTATAAGCAGGGAAGGCAAATACAGCAAGCCTCAGCAGGGTGTTAAGGAAACCAGGAGTGATCCTTGGGCGAGGTTTTGGGGTGGGACACTCTTCCAGCTGTCATCAGCATCTCCCAGCGGCCAGTACCCCAGCAGTGGACCCGTGGGAGGCCCAGGCTCTGGTGCTCTATCCTCCAAGGGCCTACAGGTCCTGAATGTAGCCCCTCCCCCATCTACTGCCATGAGAACACATGCTCCTTCTCACTCTTGTCCGAGAACCAATGTCTTACATTTCTCTTTGATATTCCCATGGTCACTAGCATGGCCAGATGAATAGCAATTACAAAGAGATCTTAAATAAATCCAGGCTCCCAATCAGATCAGGACTCTGGGGTGCAGGGCAGGTCCCTTCGGCAAGGGTTTATCTGTCTGTTCTTCTCCCTGTCCAGAACCTTCACAGGTACCCAAGGCAGAGCCAGAGCAGCCGAGGCTGGATCAGATGCTTGGCCAACTCTTCCCCCATGTGCTTGTTCTGAAACCATTGCCCAGACCAAAGCTCCCTGTCCCACCCCACCCCCAGCACCTCTGACAAGGGTGAAATCACTAAAGAGATGCACAGAGCAATGAGAAGGAGGAGGATGGGGGTGCTGGTGAGCATGCTGAGTGCTGGTCACTGGGGTGCGAGAAGAGAGGAAGGGGCCTGGAATGTTGGTCTTAATGCTGACTCTGTGTCAGGGTACTATTCTGGCCGAACACAGCAGAGGAGGCCCACAGGGCACTCCTGCCCCAGGTGTGGGTGGCAGGCTGGGGCAGGACCAAGAGGCAGATGTGTAGCTGAGCGGATAGCTGCCAGCACACATTCACAGAGGGAAATCACAATGGCATGATTTTTCCCTTCGCAAAGCTAGCTCCCTTTCTGAAGTTTCTTGCTAAACTTGACAATGGCCTGAGAAGCACAGGGCAGCAGCCAGCTGAGCTGGGGGGGAGGTGCAGAGGTGGAAAGAGGCATGAACCACACAGAAACTTGTAGCATTCTCTCCTCTTCCAGAGAACTTGGAATTCTTCTGCCTTGAGTGGTGGAGAGAAAATCTAAACAAGTTCCTAAAGGCTAATGAGGCAGAAAGCACAAAGGAGGTAAGAGCTCCTGCTTGCCAGAGCGTTTGTCTGGAGGGGGGAGAAAACACAAAAAGCATAATCCAGGGAGTGCAGCAAGGGCGTCTGGAGAGATTCCTTTGCTCCGTGTGCCTGGTCTGGGCGGCTGCATTCTGTCCACCCCACTCCATTAAATTCCAAGGAAACTCGTCAGCATCGGCCAGACCCGCCTCTGCGCAGGGCTCAGGCATGGATGCGGCGGAAACAGAAGTGAGATCTTGCACATGCCAGGACCCCCATTTGACCAGTGCTGCAGCTGCGGATCCAAGGGCACACAGACCCTGGCGGGCACAGAGGAGCCCGGACACAGAGGCTTTCCTGAGCCCTGCAGAAAAAAAAAATGCCCAGGACAGACAGAGGCTGAACTGTACCCAGAGTGGCCAACAGAAGCCTAAAATAACCCTGAAAATCCCATGCATCACGGGAGCTGCCGTGTGCCAATCAACGGAAGACAAGAACTAGAGGAAGAGATGCTGCCCTGGGGAGGGGTTCTGGGTGCCAAACTCCACAGCACTCTTGTTAAAAGCCACAATTCAGCTGGGCATCGGTAACTCACGCCTGCAATCCTAGCTTCTCAGGAGGCAGAGATGTGAGGATTGTGCTTCAAAGCCAGCCCAGAAAAGAAAGTCTGTGAGACTCTTATCATCAATTAACCACCAAATAGCTGGAAGTGCAGCTGTGGCCA